ACACACACTCACACACACACACACACTCTGACCGCTCTCTCCTCTGCGCAGGCTGAATGAGAACATGAATGTGTGTGTGGCTGACTTCGGCCTCTCCAAGAAGATCTACAATGGAGATTACTACAGGCAGGGCCGCATCTCCAAGATGCCCGTCAAGTGGATCGCCATCGAGAGTCTGGCCGACCGAGTGTACACTACTAAGAGTGATGTGGTGAGACGAGACGACACCGATCCTATAGAAATGATCGACTTTCACACGCAGCAGCGCTCATAATGATCCACAGCAGTGGCCAATCAGAAGCAGTCGGAGGCGGGACAACTTCACATGCTCGTGTTTACATTAGCATGAGCTGTTTTATTTGACGGAAACACCAGCTATATATGTGTATATTGTTTATTTTGAAGGGGGCGGGGTCTCTTCGTCTTCTTCGTCCTCTGCTGATCACATGCCTGTATTCAGACTCGTCATGATTATAGTGTCTGCAGTAGTTTAGTCTTCCTCTTCTGTGCTGTAGTTCTGCTGACTCCTCTGTGTGTTTCAGTGGTCTTTCGGAGTGACCATGTGGGAAATCGCCACGCGAGGCCAGACGCCGTACCCTGGGGTGGAGAACAGCGAGATCTATGATTACCTGCGGCAGGGCAACCGTCTCAAACAGCCTCCAGACTGCCTGGACAGCATGTGAGTTACACCACACTGACACCGGGGTTCACCACAGGGAACAGAGATGCTGAGGGTTCAACCTTTACAACTGACACACAGACATGAATGAGGTGATCAGAGTCAAGTGTTGTGATCAGGGTAGTATTGTCGGCCTGTGGTTACCCCAGTGTCGACCAGACAGGTATCCGAGTGAAAACAAGAGCTGATCTGCTGGACATGCTCATGTCTTCTGGCGCCATCACCCAGTGTGACGTCTGTGGTCTGTGTGTGTGTGTGTGCGTGTGTGTGTGTGTGTTCTCCAGATACTCCCTCATGTTCTCCTGCTGGCTGCTGAGCCCCAAGGACCGGCCAAGCTTTGAGATGCTGCGCTGTGAGCTGGAGAAGGTTCTGGAGGATCTGCCGAGTCAGGACCCAGAGGAGATCCTGTATGTGAACATGGAGGAGAGCAGTGGGGAGCTGGGGGCCACTGGGGGCCTGCCGTGTGCTCTGGGGGCCCTGAAGGGCTCGGTGGCCACAGTGGAGGTGCACCCACCCAGCCGGTACGTGCTCTGCCCACAGCTGGAGAACCAGCGGCTGCTCAGCGCACACTCCACCGACAGCCTGGAGCTCCCGGGCCTCGGGGCCGACCTTGACCCTGAACCTGAGCCCCAGCCATCGTCCTGCTCCACACCCCTGCCAGAGAGACAGAGCCCGGAGCTGGAGCCCCACAGCAGGAGAGCGGCCTGGCACTGAGGGCCACACTGAGCCCTGCACACACACACACTGCTCTCCTGCTCCATATATCACGTCCAGAAACATGTTTCCAGGAGGAGTGTGACCCATCTCACCCTCAGCCTCAGGGCCCGGACACCAGCTGTGCTGCCGGCCGCATCTCTGGACCAAAAAGTTGCACATGAACACACCAAACAGACAGTGGTGACCGAGAGTGTGTGTCCTGCGTCTGTGTGAGGCATGTGTGTTTTCACACCAGCAGGGGGCAGTGTGTGTTTCTCGTCCACAAAGGGAAACGCAGCGCTCGGCTCCATCATCACAGTAATCATCAGTGCACAGAGGGAGTCACTCCTGCACATATGTCTGATAATCGAATAATCCGTATAGTCTGAGAATATTTGAGAAATGCAGCAACATTACTGCCGCATACTTTGCTTTCCTTATCGACTTGTTTACTTTGGCACGTCACTTTAGTATTTGTTCTCTGATTCGTTACTGAATAACCAATCAGAACGCTCTCCTCATCTGATTATACATGCAGAATCTGGCCAATAAGCTCCTGAGGAGAGGCGACATGTGGAGCACAAACACACTAGCCAGATCCACGGCCAGCCCTCTTTATTAAGACATGAACGATACGGCAGTCTGTACAGCGTGTGGAGGAGATGACTGCTCTGAACTCCCACAGGGATTGAGCTGATGGAAGGGAATGCAGACTCTGAAGAGGCTGGAGTGGGCTTAGTGGAGTTGTGTGACTGAGGGCTGATTTATACTGGTGTGTTGAGTGCACGCTGTAGCCGATGCTGGTGTTAGCATTTCTGCTTCTGTGTTCTGCATGTGTTGTTCTGCAGTGAACACTAGGAGGCGGTGGGGTTTCTCTGCTCCACTGGGTCTCCTTGCTGGTGTTTTGAGTTTGTCCTGGAAGCGTGTGTGATGCTACTGTAACCGTGTGTTCTCACCACCAGCGCTACAAATCTGGAAAAAGCACATCATAGACCGTGTGACCGTTACTGAGCTTTATGGTAATGAGCTTTATGGTAATGAGCTTTATGGTAATGAGCTATGACATGCTTCAGCGGCAACCTAACGGTACTACATAGCTGAGAGACGTCCAGAGAACACGTCCGACCACATCAGTTCCAAGCAAACCTAATCTCAGAGGTGGATTATTGCTGTACAGGTCACTCTCGGAGTTCATAATGTAAACTAACGTTAATGTGAAGAACAAAACAATGTCTTCATAAACAGCGTGTTGAAATTAGACTAATAAATAATCAATATTTCATTAATGAAGTCATTTTTTAAAGGATCGAGACTGTAACTCCTTCAGTTAAACCAGACTTTCAAAGCATGAAATAACCACATTTTGCAGACAGTGAAGGAGTCGAGAGGCGCCATTTTACCTGTGTTGCTATGGCAACACAGCGATATTGTTAACGGCAGGAGCAAGCATACTACATAGAAATGTCCTGTCCATGCGGTCGGCTGCTCTCACATTATGTTCACAGCAGAAATAAACCACCCTTGCGCAGCACAAGCCATTGAATGCCCGTTTTTCATAGCGCAGTGCTTTCCGTGTCCAGTGTGAGAGTGAAACCAGCGCTCTGAACTCTGCTGAGCAACACAGCCCCTATAGGGATCAGATTGTTGGCTGTTTTCCTCTTGGATTTGATGCACCTCTCGTATTACATGTATTAAGAGGTGTGTGACAGATATGAACGAGAAGTATTCGAAGGCTACATCAGATCTACTGCGTGTACTCAATGTAAACATTTCAAACAAATATAAATCAGCCTTAAAGCACAGCTCATATGCAGAAATCACTTTCATACTGGGTACAAACCTAGTAGTGTGTGTGTGTGTGTGTATATGTTTGTGCGTGTGCGTGTGTGTGTGTGTGTCAGCAGTGTGTTACTATCTCCAGCAGCCTCTGATGCTCAATTGTATCTCATTGTGTTTGTTCTAATCAGACTTGAGGCTGAAACACTGTGATTGACATTCTCCCCTTGTACGTGTCATCAGAGGAGGAAAGCCCCGCCCACTAGTGCCCATCTCTCCATCTCATTAGCATAAACAGCAGCCCTGAGTGAGATGAAGCAGCGACAGGAGTCTCCATAGACTGACAGAAGCATGAAGCACAAGCTCATTTGCATTTAAAGCGACAGTCACCTAAACACCACAGTTAGGATCACAGCCTGAAAGGGTCAGTTTCAGAGCATTATCTGTGTGCTATTCTCAGCTCTAACACACACACACACACACTGTCCTGAGCAGTGCCTTGATCCAAAGAAACACACGCAGGATGAGTGTGTGTGAGGTCTGACACAATGAACCAAACCCTCAGATATCAACTCATTCAGAGAGAGAGAGAGAGAGAGAGAGAGACTCAGACAGTCCAGCACTGCAGCGTCAGTGTGTTCATACAAGCGCACACACACACACACACACACACAGCCCCTGCCCCAAACTTAAGCACAGTGTTCTTCTGTATGTCTGTGTGTTGTACATTGTTGGATGTTTTGCACTAATGTTGTGTCAGTTATATTGTTTGTTTGTTTGTTTGTTTGTGTGTGTGTGTGTGTGTGTGTGTGTGTGTGTGTGTGTGTGTGTGTGTGTGTGTGTGTGTGTGTGTGTGTGTGTGTGTGTGTGTGTGTGTGTGTGTGTGTGTGTTTGCTGTTAGATGATGCATGAGTACATGTACAGTAATATGATCATGGTACAGTAATATTAATGAAGACTCCTCTAAATACAGATGAGTGTTCAGCTCACAGCAGGTACATGTGTAGATGTGTAGATGTGTAGATGTGTACATGTGTAGATGTGTACATGTGTACATGTGTACATGTGTAGATGTGTTTCCTATGCTGACATGCTCAAGCCGCGCAGTGAAACACTGCACACATGGCCTTCACACATGGTTTGGTCTTGATTCTTGTCAAATTCTCCAGTAATGCTTCCCTCAAGCTCCGCTGTCCTGTCCAGTTGTTTAGTGTTTAGCTTTTACTCAGAACAATACACAATACTCTGGTGTTGATCATGATGAACGGTTATTTACTCACCGCACCGGCAGATAACCGCTCACTGTAAAACTCTGATATTGTCATATTGAACTCAGTATTCTGATCACAACGCTCAGTTTGACTTGTCCAGAAATGCTTCTTGGTTTATAAGTGTTCAGACATTAGGACTAGAAACAAGGCAAAGCTTCTCCTCCTCCTCCTCCTCCTCCTCCTCCTCCTCCGTGTTGCGGTGATATCGGGTTCAGTCTGCTCATTCTTTGACTGATGTAATGTGGTACTGACTGGGGTACTTTACTACACTTTACACCTCACTGAGCCGCAGATGCACTCAGTGCTGAAGATGCCGTGTAGACGAGTGTGTGAAAGACCACCATAACATCACAGCAACTCTCTAATCTGGCTGCGTCAGCATGTTTGTGGCATGTTTGTGCACCCAAAATGTTGTAACAGAACTTTTAGATGTGTGCA